ATATCCGTTTCATTTTAGCCGCAACTGGAACTCGGATGTGTATACCTCATTCAAGAAATTTTCGCGACACGTTAATTTCACGATTTAAATTTCGCGACTTTGCGAAATTTTTGTACTTGAAGCAAATAGAACAACCTCATTTACAATAACGTCAAAATTTATAACAAGAGATGCAGGGACAGGTCTATATGAGAACAGTAACATCAAAGTTCTAACAATTTCCACACGAATTTTACGCTTGTTCGAACGTTAATTTTAGTCAATTGGCCATGATGTCCCTAGCCGTTTGTGCAAATTGGTCTTTTCTTCATCATTAGCATTATTCACTTAATTTTCGCGTCATGTTATGTTCGCGACACTTATTGTTCGCGTCACTTTAATTTCGCGATTTTAAAAAAGTCCCGAAAATTTCATGTATATAAGGTAATTTGCAGCAAGTTTTTACTGAAACTCGGGGTCAGCCATGCAAGTACTTTGTCTATAATCCAAGCCAAGATCCGCAAACGGCAACATATACTGCGACACTTTTAATTCTGTTTTGGCACTCCTAAATAGCTCTTTTGCAAATGCAACAATTTATGTGTCACTCTACAGTTTTTGCTTTGTTTCACTTTGAATTTGAGGGCAGTTTCCGAGTACAAGCCGCCGTGGGCTCGTATTTGGAGGGGCGATTTATCAGAGGGTTTTTTGCGTTACGAGTTTGGAGGGCTTATACGTGGAGGGGCTTATTTTACGGTCCGTTTACCATTTGAGTTTTCTTTGCATATAAAGAACATTTTTCTCTCAATCTTCTTGCCGTAAGAATCAATTTAGGGTTTTTCTCCTAAGACTTTCGATCATCAACTTACATGATAATTTCATCCAAAAATTTTTTGATATTAAGTTAAAAGAAACCTACCTTCAGCATATGCTGTTAGGATCAGCAAGTGTAGAAAATACGCCACGAATTTGCTCATTTCTAACAATTTGCGTTGAGATAGGATTCACGATCGCGCTCTTGTTGAGAGTATCCCGGGCAAATCTTGACTAGTGATGACAGTGATTAGGTCAAACACCTTTATCAAGTTCTAACTTCCTGATTTGTAAGGCGAGAATTTTCGTGTAAATGCGGCAAGGCATGATTGCAGGAGAAGTTGATCTACATTTAAACTGACAGTCACGTCGTTCGGATCACAGCTCAGTGCATATTAATTTCATGGTGTATACATTTTCTGTAGAATATAAACGAAGATCCTCATCTGAAAGAATATATTATAAAATCCTGCTTTAAGAGCCGTTTGTATTTTTTTCAAAACTAAAATTAACCAGAAAAACAAAGGCAATTTTCTGAAATACGCGTTAATTACACGAAGCTGTAAATTTCCTATAATAAGGTAATCTCTTCCTTATGACTACGTACATAACTAATTAACTGGTGGCAATAATCAAGCTATTAATTTTATGACACGTATGCTTCCATAAACTCTCCAACATTTGTGGTGGGTGACAATAATTTTGATCTTACTAAAGGGAAATAAAGGAATTACTACAACCTACTCATCAGAGAAGTGAAAGCTAAACCGCCCAATATTATTCAAAAATTAGAGTAACTTTCATTTTAACAGCGACAATCTGAAGCAAATATTTAAGCTGCCACGCTCTATCGTTGTCGAATCGTACGTTAAAACCTTTCAGTACAAAGTAATTAACTCAATTCTTTACACAAATACAAAGTTGTATAAAATAGGTTTACATACATACATACATACATTACATACATACATACATACATACATACATACATACATACATACATACATACATACATACATACATACATACATACATACATACATACATACATACATACAACTTTGTTTCACTTTGAATTTGAGGGCAGTTTCCGAGTACAAGCCGCCGTGGGCTCGTATTTGGAGGGGCGATTTATCAGAGGGTTTTTTGCGTTACGAGTTTGGAGGGCTTATACGTGGAGGGGCTTATTTGCATGCATGCATGCATGCATGCATGCATACATACATACATACATACATATACTTTATTTATGCTCGAAATTGACAGAGTAGCTGTAGATCTAGAGCTAATGTATTCGAGGTTTTAAAAGAAATGATTTATGTACTTTCTGGGACAATCAACCCGAATCATTAACCAATTTGTTCTATCACTGCTCACGTTCTAAACAGTTTTGGATTGAATTTGAATTCAGTTTTGGTGCCTTAATTCGTCTCTGCTTGGAAAATGTGCTCTTTGGAATTTTGACGGAAAATGCTTGCCCTTTACTTCAATTGCTAAACTATTTTATAATTATTGGAAAACCACTCTATTTGTGGGACTGTAGGAGCAAACAAATCCATCCAAACATTTACGGATTTAGGGCGAAGATCATCGCTAAATATGAAACAGAAGAAAAAATCAGCAACAAAGAATTCTTTAAAAGAAAGTGGATACTGACGCCTTATTTATCTTAACTCCCGTATTATTTCATTGCCCTGTTCTACTTTTTTCCTTTAGCCCTGTAATAATTTAACAATTAATTTTGCTTTACTCTGTTAATTTCTATTGTTAAGGTGTTTTTTTGTAGTATTGTAAATGTAATTATTTAAAATATGTTTAAATTAAAAAAAAAAAAAGCTATTACTGTTTCACGGTTGTATTAGAAATAACTGACGACGATAAAGAGGTCATGTTACCAAGCCAAGATGTTATGAAGTGTTTCATACCAAAACCTTGTCACGTTTTTTCTGACCTTTTTTAGGGGCACCCAATGATTAGTTTCGGTAAATATCTGTTTGGAAGCAAGGTTCCCTTGAAATTTCGGACCGCGTCTTCTTGGAGATTTTTTTTAGGGCTTTGAATCCGGAAACACAAGAACTAATCGAGTTGGCGAATTAAAAAAAACGCTTTGAATTTTAATGTTTTAAGATTGTTGTACATCACGGAAGTAAATTGATATCCAGGTAGAAAATATTAGTCTCAAAGTTTTGTTTTAATAGGAGCAAAGTGGAAAGACGCGGAAAAAATAACGCCTGGCGCTCCTCGCTCGCTTCCCGCTTGCCTTCCCCCGCCTAAAAAACGCGAAAAAATTACGCCTGTCATGCAGGCTATTTTTACGAGATCCCCTGTAGGCAGCCCTGTAGGTGTCCGGCAACAGAAGTTACCAGGTCAAACGGCTAAAACCCAGTGAGCTGTACATGTGGCCGAGTGGTCAGCGCGCTCGTTGTACTCGCAGCAGTAGTCTCCCATTTTCTCACGTGGGATGATTTTCACGCGCGTTTCGCGTTTCGCTCGCTCTACTATCCTTGAGGAAAAATGGGGGACTACTCGTAGTCTATAGTCACGGTGCCTAATTTACCTTTTTGGCCTTGACTCTTAAATAAATAGCCAGCGAGTTGGGTCTTTTAAGCATGTTGTGCTAAAATTGATTATTTGTTTATAATTATTTCAGTGAGGTCCCTCTAAACTAGCTAGATCAACTAAAAGCAAAAAGCATTTACCATACATTTTTCCCTACCCCCTTCTGGGAAAAAAAGTCACGTATGATTATAAATCGGATCCTGTTTAAGCGCTTTTCATCATGAATTTTGTCGTGGTTGACGTCAACGCGTCAGCTACGATAAATCAGCTGCTTCACACTAGATCAACCATTTACCTTCAGTATTGCATTTGACGAGGTCATACATTGCCAGGCCACCGCATCAAATATGAATGGGATTTGCTTGTTGCTTTTCGTGGGAGTCATCATTTTGGAAGCAGCATCATGCCAAACTTCTCAGGGTAGGTCACTCTTATCCGCACCATGATAACCGTGACGACTTAAATATATGTATATATAAAAAGAAAAACAACAGACTGAACGACCTTATCATGTCCGATCAAGTCGCAAGTATTGCGTTATGTTTCATTCTATTCTATAAGTCGGATGAGTCGAGCTGATAAAAAACGCAGTAAAAAAAATCGATAGTCACTAATTAATCTAAGTGACTTATAGAGACTAGCTTACCAAAACTAAAAAAAGTTACTCTTTCATGGAATACGTCAACACACTGGCGTCTCAAAAGTTTCTTCTTCGACTGAGCAGGGGCATCCAACGTCAATTTTTAGAAAATATCTGTTGGAAAGACGATTTGAGATCTAGAATTTTCGGAACATTTGTTGTAAAATTTCTTGCTTGCCTGCCTCTCCTAGGATCTTCGAACATCTAAAAAATGGTATAATTGCCCATTTTTAACGGATTTTTACCCTAAAATGGTCACCTAGAATTTTCGGAACCTTTTTTCTGGCTGAAATTTTCGAAAAGGTAACTTTTTATCCCTATAATTTTCGGATCACTAGCCTTTCAGCTAGGAAATCCGAACAGATCAAAAATTTTTAGGGGATAAAAATATGCCTATATCTACCGTTTAAATACTAAAATATATTCAACAAAGCTATGTTTGAGTGGCTTTGAACTATATTCTCGATGGGTGACCCTGACTGAGGAAACTATTCACTCCATAGTAAAAAGCGAGGCTAACTAGCAAATGTGACCCCCTGAACTGCGTTTTTAATTGTCCCAGTTGAGCTCAGTTGGAAAATGTGGTAGCCTCTCTGTGATTTTTTGTCTTTTCCACCTGTTCATTCTCCGGTTCTTAGTAAATATAAATTTCATTACGTGGTATTTACATAGAATATCTTCAAATAATTAATGCTTCATGAGGAGAAAATTGACAAGATAATTAATTCTATCCCCTGAGTAAATTTGGGAATCAGATCCTCATTTATTATTAGAAATTTCTCAGACTTTAGCGTGAAGTTTTTTTAACTAGTGAGGACAGTCAAATCTCTTGACATACACACTTTTCAATGCCTTCCCACTATACGGAGGAAGAGCTCCAGCCAGAATTTTGAGTATCATTCTAAAGTTTTGTCTATCCGCCTTCTTGCAAAAAGGCCCTGGCAGCCTGCTAGGTACTGGGTGCTCCATGTGAGTCCCATACTAGTGTGGCGAAGAAAACTCAGCGGTGGATAGCCAGAAGAGGTCATCAAAGTTTTTTATCCATAAGTCATGCTTATTTTCTCTCTTTCAGCTGAAACTTCATGCAGGTCATGCTCGCTTCCATGGAAACTGGAGTATCACCACGATGGGAATGGCAACACGATTGCCGGGTGGAGGTATGGCTTGATATCTGCCGTGTTATCAGGTGCACGCGTTCGCGTGGTCATCTTGGGAAATTCCTACAGCACAGAGACGGATAATATACATGTACACGCTGGTCATGTTTTCGCCCAACTTCTGCAGCATGTCAGTAAAGCATCATGGGACAGGTTTCAAGATAACGCCTACTGGTGGTGGGTGTACGTGTCAACCAACGGACAGATGCAGATGACCAGGTACAGCGTTGGCTCCAATACACATCGTGGAACCAATGGTTTAAGGACAAGCATTAAATGGTACGTGCAGAGGTTAGCAGTTTTCCCAACACCATTATATTCAAACCGGGCAAATGGAAACAAAGAGCAAGGTGACTTGGATGACCTGGTGACTAGCGTTCAGAATGGCCAAGAAATCCGATGTGTTAGCACTAAGGGTTATTCTTTTCCTCTCCAGAACGTGGCAGTTAACACTAATGGTGCCAAGTACGTTTCAGGGCAAAGCTTAGACCACATAAGTACTCGCACTAGCGGCAACCTGATCCAGTTTCAGAGCAATGCCTATTGGTGGTTCACCGTGGTGACTACTCGTGGATTACGTGACATGTCACGCTGGAATGTTGGGGCCCACACGTCACGAGGTCACACACAAGATACTGTGGCCATCGAATGGTTTTCAGATGGCTGCTGGAGGGAAGTTTTCTCCAATGATGACAGTGGAAATTACCTTTCTGGAAGCCGCCAGGCACTTACGTCAGCCTTATTGTCAGGACACCGTGTACGTTTCCAGATCCCTGCCTGGAATTACTACACTGCCGAGGCTGACAATCTCTCTGTGCGCAGAGGTCATGTTACAGCTCAGGCGATCA